AAAAAAAAATCACCATAATCAGCGAGTAATTGTAATTCACCATAATTAAAATTTTAAATGTGTCAAATTTGAATATAATCGAAGGCATTTGCAAGCCAATAACAAATTATGCTAAAGAAAGTGGTTCAAGGAAATAATCAAAGTAAGATATCTCATGACGATAAAAGGGGATCAATTCCCCAATAATTATCTAATTGCACTTATAGCGCCTTTGAAGGAATCACACATCCAATTTGCACTCATAAATTGAAACTAGAAGAAGAAATTTTATTTAATCAAAGATATCTTAAAACAACTATTGATAGACTCATCATTCTATGTCACCATATATGATTAGCATACTATTAACTAAATCTCATTCTAGATAGCCCAAATATCAAATTTGAATTTCATCCAAAGTCCAAAGCAACAGAAATTAAGTCAGTTGCATAATATATTTTTCCAGAAAATATAATCACAATTTAGTATATCACATGGAAACCAAATCCTAGACAACAACAATTTCGTAAAAGAAGATCTAAAGTGCCATTACAGTAAATTGCTACACTCTCAATAAAGTCCCCAAAACAGCAAAGCGTTGCAGTCCCGCACCAGAAAGACATGAGTATTGCCTGAGGGTGTTAGGCCTGCGCATTAGGGTAATTTAAGCTTCTAGACGCCTAAGGGCAAGTTAGTCTTTTGTTATTTGTTATCGATTAGTAGAAATAGGGCTCATATGCTTAGGGTTAAGATTATGCATGAGAGATTATTGCCTTAGGGCTACTGTTTGGGAGAGATTTCCTAACTCTCGAATCGTAGTATTTGGGAGAGACCGCCTACCTCTCGACTTGTAGGTGCTTATCTTATGTGTTCGTGTTGAGTTGTCAAATGTTCTTGCAACAAAATATTCATTTGTTCAAGATTATGTGAAAAAATCTTTTCAGATCAAATCAAATTGGTATAAGAGCATTGATCTGTAAATCTTAAAAGGAAAGAAAGGATATCGGCATACAAAAGAGGATCGCGGCTATTTTGGGAAGAAAAAGAATCACGGCGTCCAGATTGATCACATCAAGCACTGAGAAGACCGACGCGATCAAACTAACCTAGTGACAATACAGTCGTAGCTAGGAAGAATGTCGACATCATGTCCTACAGACACGTGTCGTGCCCTAATCCTTGCGATGTAGTCACTGAATAAGCTAACTGGGACACAAACGACAGGAAAGTTGCATAACGACACATCCTTCGTGACCTAATTCGTGTGATACAGTCCCAAAAAGAGGTAGTCGAAATGTAAATAGCAGGATCGAGGCATACAAACAACATGATTATGATGCATAAGGTTTCATATGTTATAGATGCAATCAAATTGGCACAATTGCGATCCGGACTACTTG